TCCATGAAGTCAAGGTGTAGCTGAAATACAGTCAAAGAGATTAAAGTAGACATTGTTTTGTATAATCAAGACCTACTGTTAATAATTTCCAGCTAAATGAAGTCTTCAACTTTTTCTGGAGCCTGGCCTTTCTTTGGTTCCCCCAGTTATACCAACTCATCTTTTTTTTAAAGTGTATTATTAAAAAATGAACCGAAATGGTGTCAATTTTGACCAGATTCTTTTCTAAGGTCTGTGACGGGTTAAATAGATTGAGATGAGCTGAATCAGCTTCGAGTTAGGGTGTAAGCAGGAGGTGTTATCAGTGAAAACGACGTTGTGCTGCAAACCTCTGAGACCACGCGTGCTGTCACAGCTGAAATTTTGGGGGAGAGGTGGGACGTGGCCCCTGTAGCTTGCCCGAGTTAACCTTTAGCAGATGAACGGGATGGTAATTTAATTATTGTTTGGTGGGTCCCAAGCGAGGGTCAAGCTTCAAATGACTTAACTGGAAAATTGTCGGCAAATGATTGCAATTTGAATGTAGGATAAGGTCAGGAGGTCTTTTCATGTTCAAAGGGGCTTTGGCTGAATGCTATTAGCATGTGATTTGTATAAAATGAATTCTAAGCAGCGATGTGCAGATCAAGAGAGAAATAATATCTTCTGGGTTTGTCTTTTTTTCTTTGTTCGCGTCCTCTAATATTTGGACGTGTGCTGTCTTTTGAACGAATAAATAATTCCTGGTAGCTACCTGCAACCAGAGGAGAAAATAGCGCTCCGTTTCGAAAGAAAAACACGAGGAAAAGGTCCTTCAGAAGCACTTCTGTGCTGATTTCACAAAAGACGAGGGCAAATCACAACCAAACGCCGGGGAAGGCTGAAAGGTGAGGCGCTGACACGAGGACGAAAGCGAAACACGGTGGAGGAGCGTGTTTCATCCCGAAAGGCTCGCCGGTGCCTTGTTTACTCTCCTCCTTGCAATTGTGCTTAAATTTACAGAATCACAGAATCACAGAACTTCTAGGTTGGAAGAGACCTCAAGATCATCGAGTCCAACCTCTAACCTAACACTAACAGTCCCCACTAAACCATATCCCTAAGCTCTACATCTAAACGTCTTTTGAAGACTTACAGGGATGGTGACTCCACCACCTCCCTGATCAACCCTTCAATCTCTCGAGAGCATGAAGGATGTGCTTGTCACGGTTACCCTCCATCTTTTGAGAAGGCTGTAAAATATATTTATTTCGAAGCAACTCCGTGTTTATACATTATTTACATCGTTATCTTTGCGGACTTGGTCTGCAAAGAAAATGAAAAAGAGCTTTATAAACTTCCCGAAGCTTGCACGCCACGCTTGGTCTTTTCCTTTAGGATTTTTTACATCTCCTTCGGTGTCATCTTTCTTTTCCCCAGCTTCTGTACGGTGGGAGTGGGAACTGCCTTCAGATCTGTGCATCGGAGTGGCCGAGGAACTTAAGATGCCACTTCCACCAACGCCTGCATAGAAATACTTGGGTTAAAAACTGTTTACGTGTAAAATTGTTGATTTCCCTCGATGTTTGAAGGCTCAAAGCCTTCGGCTTTGGGAAGCAGCAGAGCTGGTCCCCCACGGAGCTTTTCCACAGGCACAAAACAAACCGGTGACAAATATCTGGGTGAGGTGTCCCTCGTGCCTTGCGTTTATGGTAATTTCAAGTGACACCAGCCCTGTTTTTAGTTCTGAGTGCTCCAAAGGAAGAGGATTAAGCAGCTGATGTCCTGGGGTGTCACCAGGATGGGTGACAGAGACCTGGGGCTGCCGTGTCCCGTCCTCGCCGTGGTGGCAGCAGGACGGTGCTGTCCAGAGACACGCTTTTTTTTGGCTCACACTCATTATTCACCATGAAAACCTTTCCATTTTGCTTCTGATGCAGCTTAGTCTGAGCTCAGTGCTTGGCAATCCCTGGTGCAAGCTGGATTTGAGCCACACCTTGGCCGCTGACCTCCCTCGCTGCTCCTGTTTGCCCTTCATCTGGAGTCGTCCCCCGGCGTCTCGTGCACTTTCATGGGAAAGACAGAACAGATCCAAACGTAACCAGGTTACAGCCGGGGGAAGCATCCCGAGACTGTTTGCTAGCAGCAGCTTCCCATGGCGTTCCTGCTGGAGCTGCTCCTTCGGCTTCGTGGTGGAGCCTCAGCAGCTTCTAAGCAACTCAGCATCCCTGCCACGGGGATTAGGAAGTGGTGGAAGCGTCGTCTTGTTTATAATTCATTTCTATTAGTCTTTTTTGTTGCGTATTCATGGCCACGAGCAAGTGCTGCAAGTCATTGTGGCGGAGGAGGTTTAATTTTGCTAATCCTGTTTTATTCCCATTTCAGGGCGGCTGTTCGAACGCCACAATGCGGGGCCTGTAATGAATTTAAAACGGGTTTTTGAATGGTATTGTCTTGCAGATTGTATTGGAAGCTCGTCTGAATGTGTTTTAATACTAGAGGCTAAAAAGGAGGAAAATCATCCAGCTGAAATGCTGTTCGCATGGAGGCTTTCATGCTGGCTGGAAATAATGCCCTGCATACCAAGCAAGGAGGAAGCACAAGCCTCTTCCTCACAACACATTCATCCCCCTAACGCAATTATCATCTTTTTATCTCAGCTAAGAGGCGTTTTCTTTCATCCTTCTCAATAAGTGTGTTTTGTACTGTTTGGTACAACACTTAGTGCGAGCCAGGCATACGCAGCGATAATTTTCACCAAATCATCATTTATTTCTACTCTTTACACCCAGAAGAGCTCAAGTGAGATGATGGCTGTGCTGAGCAGGGCTCTGTAGAAATGCAGTTGTGTCTCCATCTGCCCAGCAGCTCGTGATCTGATGGGTAAGGCCAAGGAGGAGCGAGATGGGGACGTGGTTGCAGCGAGGTGAATCACAGAATCACAGAACTGTAGGGTTGGAAGGGACCTCGAAAAGTCATCGGGTCCAACTCCCCTGCCAAAGCAGGTTCCTCAGAGGGGTTGTGAGGAAATGCGTGTGATTGCTGCCTCTCCACCTTCTCCAGATCCTTTGTGATTTTTTTTTTAATAGATACCTTATTCCCTGCCCCACTGGGTGTTTCTTGTCCAGGCTGAAGTGTCCTGCTAATGATTTAACGGTTAATTACGGCCAGGGAATCTTTGCAGCCCTCTGAATCTCTCCTCCTGTTCTCTCAGGTCCTGCTTGGGACCTGCATAAAACATCACGTGCAGGTAGTAATTTTTAGGTCTTAGCACTGCACTTTGGAGGTGACTCCTGCTGACTGTGTACTTATTTCTGTGTGCAAAGTGGTTTTGGTGTGTGGGGGCCAGGTTTCTTTCCAAAGCTTCACCCCAGTTGCCCATCACCTTTCCTCCGACCTCTCGCGGGACGGAGAGGCTGAACCCACTGAAGGACCTACAGGTAACTTCAAACCATGCGCCAGGTGGGGACGTTCAGAGCAGAAAACCAAATTAATCCTGCTCCAAAGGAAGGATTTGGATCTTAAAACCCTGAGAATGCAGTGTGTGGCTGGAGGAGCCTCGGCACAAAGTGCTGTGATCTCCGATCATCCCTGCTTGCACCAAAGGGTTTGGTAGGGTGGGCACATCCCGGGATTGTTGCGGTGCTGCCTCCTGTCAGAGTGGAAAAAAAAAATCATTAATGGAGGTGTGGGCAGGGAATTTGGGTGAAAAGGAGGCGGTTTTGGCTGCGATGGATGCGCCTTCTTGTGCGCTGAGCTGCGCTGGCACTTTGGGGAGCACATTCCCCCACTTGGCTGCTGTCAGATCATCTCCTCGTGCTTCCAACTTACATCTTCAACTACCTGCTCAGAGGAGCAACATCCTTCATCCTCTGGGGTCTCCTTCCGACTCGTTTTATTTTGTCCTGCTGCGTGTGGCGTGATGGAGAGGTGAGCAAACACATCTGGAAAGGCACCACGGCTGGGCGCTGCCGGAGGTGTAAATTCTTCCCTCCTGCTTTACAGCCCCGGTAGCCTCTGCTTTGAGAATTGCTCCTTCTGTGCTACCTTGGGGGAGGAGGGAAGGTTAATTAATTAAGCAGTAATTGTTGTCAAGTCGGTTGTTGCTAGCATTTAACATTTGACTTGTTTACTATCCGGAGGTACAGCGGAAGGAGTTAATGATCTATCAAATGGTGCATCCATCATCAGAGGCTTGTTTGGGAAGGACGGCTTTATTTATGAGCTGTAAAACAACGCGTTTAAAAACCCCACGTTTTGGAGGAAGATTGTTGGGGTTCGTGTTTGAAATTGTCACTGGGTAGCTGCGGAGACAAATGCGTTGCCTAATAAAGCTTAATGACTGATTTTCCCGTTAATCAGAACTGAGAATGTGCTTCATTAAGATAATTAACTGAGCAGTTGCTTAACTGACAGTCAGGAGGCACAAATTCCCTAGTTACTTGCTTTCCTCGAAATAAAAACTCCCCAGCAGGGCCGTGCCAATCTCGCCGTCTGCGCCGTGTCCGTGGGCACCGCTGGGCTGCTCGGCACATCCACGTGCAGCGCCCAAGACCTGGGTACGAGGTCGTGGTCATCAGTTTGAGCTGCTCCATCTCTCCAGCAGCAAAGAGCCTTTTATCTGCTGATTTTGGAAAGGAAAGACCTCATTTCTCGTTGTTTTTGCCACCCTCACAACATCAGCTCCTCCAAAGGGAATTCCTTGCCTGAATTTTCGGCTTTGTTCGCCGCGCGCTAGAAGTGGGGTCGTGAATGCTGAGCCCCACGAAGGTAGGGTTGTGTAAGATTAATCCACCCTGGGTTTATTTGTAGGCAGTATATGCCAACAGTGAAGAAGTTAAGAGAAATAACTGAGGGATCCAGAACTTGAATTCCTAAAAACGCTACCTAGTCGTAACGCCTGGTTGTAAATCCTTTTCTTTGCAGCTCCCTGTGTCTTGAATTATAACGTGGCAATGCGAGCGTGGAGCACAGCTCAGAACCTTTGAACAGAAGCCTTAACACAGGCACTTTTCTCAACTCTGCTTTTCTTTTGTCTCCAGAGTTCCCGGTCTTCCACGATGAACCCTGTTTACAGCCCCGTTCAACCTGGGGCTCCCTACGGAAACCCGAAGAACATGGCTTACACAGGTAGGTCTGGCGCTCAGCGGCTGCTTGTGGACGTCCACGTCTGGTGGGGAGAGCAGGGGCTTGTTAATGAGCCGTTAAACCCCTTAATTAAGGGAGAAACGGGATTCCCACTCGGATGGGAATGCAACTCTTCAACAGAGTCGGCGCAGTAAGGTTAGTGAGAATAAAGAGACCTCAGTTCCTACGAAGAGGGCACCTTGGAAATCTGAAAGAAAAAGAACAAAACGGTGTATATTTAAACAAATAAATGCCCAAGAAATTTCTGGGGCAATCAGCTGAAAACTGGAGGGCTTGGCTCCAGAGTTGAACAGAGCAACTTGGGTGCACGTCCTCAAACAGCCCTGCCACGTGCAACGGGGACCCTGCTGCAGAGAGTCGCTGTGAAAAAGGTGAAGTTGTTCTGATAGATGGAGGTTTAAAGTGCATTGCTGACTGATTTCTTGGAAATGAAGATTTAAAGAGCATTGTTGGCTGATTTCTTGTTTCCAGATTGTGCTTTGGTTGAGTTAATCTCATGTTGAACGGCACGAATTATGGTTGGTTGAAGTCCGTCTTCGGAACGGAGGGAATTGTCTAAAAGTGTCATATTTAATCCTTGAAAAAGGCACAGAAATTTGTTTACCAGAGTTATGTAACTAGCGGGGAGCTACTTCATTTACAAAATATTCTCGTTGACTCTCGTAGCTGTTTCTGATCAGTCGAGCCAGCTGTATTGCTCGAGGAAGCCCGTCTGATACTCTGGAGCAGAGAGTTCCTCAAAGAGGTTTTGCCCCGTTTTTATTCACCCTTTCTGTTTTTTTTTTCCCTATCAAATTTATGCGTGCTGCTTTGTTGGAGATACTGCAGCTCAGGGGAACTTTGGTCTTACAGCCAAAGCACCGGAGGCTTAGAAAAAAAAAATTCGCTGTGAATAATCATCTCTTCAGGAATATCACCATTGTAAGAGGACTGCAGACTCCAGCAGTGATAGAATGAGCTCCGAAGTGCACAGTTATTTTCCTGCACTGGAAAGAGCAGCAATCTTGTGCTTTCCAGAGCATGGATGGCTTTGACAAGAGGCTACTTCTCCCCCACTTTACTTTCTTTGCACGTGTTCAAAACTCCACGCTCATATCCTTTCGGTGTAGGTTTTCCCTGTCTGCTTTCCAACAGTTGGATGCTTTAGAAGCTGCCTTCCTGGCACTGGGTAAGGCAATTTTATTGAAATATCGAGGTTTGGGCTGTGTACAGTTTGTACATTGACCTTTCTGGAGGGAGAAATTTAGAGGGTGGTTTCTATTTTAAATGAACCGAGTCTACCCGGCTGCTTTCTGAATAAGTCAGATGGCGACATTAGGAGGAAATTATCTTCTAAAATAACCTGCTGGTTAAGCAGCGTGAAGATTATGTTGTGTGTTTCAGTATTTGAAGCCATTGTCCACCTCCAGCAGGTTGTGCCAGCCTTGGTCGGTGGCACAGGAGGGAGGACCAGAGGGCTCCAGCCGCGTGTCCTGCAGGGGTCGTGGTGATGGAGGAGGCGGCGGTGGACGATGACCTTGGAGAAAAAAAATTAGAGAAAAAAAAATAAAAAATTTCTCAGACTTGAGAAAATGTACCAAGGTCTTTGGTTATGTCATTGAACGCTCCAAAAGGGGGAGATTGGTGTGGCTGCACCGAAGCAGTAACTGGTCCATGGGCTCTGTTCTTACTCCCAGAATGGGTAATAGGCTAAAGAATTTGTAAACTAAAGGATATTTTCTTTGCTAGGCAAACGGTATTCCAGAACTTCTTTTAAAAATGAATTTGCTTGAATATTTAGTGGGAAAACTAGATGATATTGTGAAAAAGGGGAGAAAAAATAAAATTATTTCCTTTAAATATCAAAGACAAGCAACTGTGGAGGGCGTTCTCAATGACTGCTAGCAGAAGGCTGCCGTGACTGTTGAGTTAGAAATGCCAGGTTCAGCCTATCTAACGCTTGCTTTCTGTCTGAGATTCATTTTCAATGCTTTAACTTGCATTGTTCACCCATGTAGCTGGTTTATTTATGTAGCCACAAGCTATTCTGGAGGATATTAAAACTCACACGGACAAACCAAACAGACTTTTCACAGGAGAGACATGAAGCTAAAGAGTTGGTAGGTATTTTCTTCTCAAATTGCTTGAAAATAATAGCTGAGGTGTGTGAGGTGGTAGATCTGGAAGGGACGTTGCCTCCCAGCCCTTGCTCAAAACCTTTCCGTGCCCCAGGAGCTCATTACGGCTTCGAGGTTTAACGAGTGCCTGGGTCGTGATGGTGCCTTGGTGGCCGAGAGCCGAGTGGCAGAGCTCCTTGGGTGCCCCTCTGTTGGAAATAGTGGGGAAGTGAGCTCTGGAGGTCTTTCCAACCCTTAAAATCCTGAGATTTTTATCTGAGACACAATTTGGGATAATTTATATAATTTCTGTAAGAGTTAAAAAATTCTTTGTGGAATAGTAGGGGACACTGGAAAAAAAGCAATGCTAAAATAAAGTAATGCTAAGCTTTACGTCGGGCAAGAAATGGAAATCAAGAAAACCACTGAAGTGTGATAACGTTGAGGTAAAGGTTGACAGCCCTAAGCCATGTTCTCGGTTTGCTTTAGAGTTCAGCTTTTTACCCCAAACCCGGCACAGCACATGTATTACTTCAATTTTTGTCCTGAAAGTTCATGCGTAACCCATTAATTTCTAACCTTGTGGAGTACAACTCCGGGGGGATGTAGGCTGAAAAAATACCCAAGGATAAAAAAATCAGGATAAAAAAATCAGGATAACGGCACCTTGAATTCTACTCTCTTGTGGCTTTTCAGTGCTAAATGCGAATTCTTTATAACAAATAGATTGCTTTTGGTTTAAATCATCAGTTTCAATCTGATTTTCTTTTCCTTCTCACTTCTTTGGTATTTTCCGTGCTTGTGAGAGACGTCTATTTTGAGATAAGCAAAACTTTGGTACCAGATTGGCTGTTGTTTGTTGGGGAGAAAGGGGAAACCCTTGGCACATGCTCAAGTACTCGGTGTACATCCGTTCAGTTACTTTATTTTTTCCATTCAGCACTTCCTTAAAGAAAATGTAAAGGGTAGCTTATTTCCTAAGTTATTATTAAAGTGCATTAGATGATTTTTTTTCTGGAAATTATAATTAAATACGAAAAAAAATAGCAGAAAACCAAAGTTTGGAAGTAGAACTGCTAGGTGAAACAGTCAGAAGTGTTAAATTCATGTGAGATATGTTTATCAAAACATCCTGTATTTGAAGTAGGAGATTTATTAAATAAATCTTCTTTCTAATTAAAGAAATAAATCTATTAGTTTCTTCTGTAGTTAGTAAATCTAATTTTCTGGGTCCTTAAGAACCACAGATCTATTGCATTGCAGCCTCCTTGTTTTTTTTTGTTTTTTCTTTCTTTTCCTCAATTGGAAGAGGCGAATAAGCCTGGTGCATTTTCCAGCTGGTTATGGAGCTGGTCCCAGGGGACACGGGCAGAATATTTTCCCTGAGGATGGGGTCGTGTCTGCCCTCCTGCTCCTGCTTCCCAGGTGCTCGTCGCCGCTTCCCCTCCGCAGGTTCGGCTTGCTTGAGAGCATCAGCAGCAAACGGTGTTTGAGTATCGTCTGCTGTTTAATTAAAGGAGGCTGTAATTAACTCGGATCTTAATGTAAGCTGTCGTTTTAATTGAGGTTAACTCTAAAATGCGTTTAAGGACTGTCATTTGCTTTTTTTATTTATGGAGAATCCACTTTGCCTATCCCAAACGTGAGCCGTTGAAATGCCTGGTTCTTCTTTGATGCATTTACCTGCTGTTAACTCTGAGTATTTTGCAAAAGGTCACGAGCTTGTTACCCCCTTAACATGCACATCCATCCAGCAGCCTCCTCTTGCAGCCCTGTGCCACGTCGAGGACTGCGACAAGACCGTGCCATGCGCCCAAGTGCCGGCGATGGGATCCCTTTCAGTGCAGAAGAATCTCCAGCAGCTGTTAATGCCGTATTCTCAATCCTCTCAGCATTTGGGGATGCCAGGAGATGCTTAATACTCAGAGGAGCCACGCTACCACCACTCAAAACACAAGTTGAGTCAACTTTGGGCAAGGCGAGCGTCCTTGGGGCGTGACAGTCCTGCAGCAAACAGACGAGCTCGCTGGTGTGGCATCAGGGATGAAGAGTTGGTCTCTCCTCTAGCTTGTTTGACTTGAAGCATGAAACTCTCAGAGTGCTCGTACGAGCTCACACCCTTCTTGTTTTCCCTCTCACAAGCTGATTAATATGCTGATAAGATGCTTCAGGAGCCTTGGGTAGACTGACCCTGTATTCACTGCAGTGAATACAATAAATAATATAATAAAATAATAAATAATAACTGGTAGGAAAGGGCAAGAGCCTGGAGATGTGAAGCTGGTGAGTGAATCTCCACTTCCTTTTAGGTTAGTGAATCTCCACTACCTTCCTTGGAGAGCCTTGCTCTGCACTGCCAGGTCTACAAGGAGCTCACTCTTCCCCTTATTTTTCCCTTGGAGAGGGCAGGAAGGTAACACCCTTCGTTACCCCTTCTCTAGCTTTTCAGGGAAGATCAGGCAAGCCCTCTTCTGGTCCTGCTGCTGCTCGCCTTGCTCCATCCCTGCAACCTTTCATGCCATGCAAAGGCTTTTTCTTCTCTTCCCCAGCTGGCAAGAACCTGCATGGGTATGGAGAGCTGGCCTCGTTTCACCAGGAGGAACCTGACGCCTTTTAATAAAAGCCTTTGTGCAACTGGGTTCTGTTCAGTTGCCTTTCCAAAGTGGATTAGCCCAGACTGCCCAGAGGCACTTCTCGTGAGCCACTAATGTGAAATAAATATTCCCGGGTAGCTGCTCAGCAAGTTTTATCCTGCGCAGGATTCACCAAGAATCGCATTTGCAATTCATCCGTGGTCTGGCTGCAAGACCCAGTAGCTTTCTTAGATGTTCTTCCTCAAGTAAGGATTGCTGCTTCTTCAGCTTAAATAACAAAATAGTCTTATTT